AGTTTCAACTTGAAGTTGAAACACTAAAACTGAATCTTTCAGAATTGACCAAAGGTTCAAGGCTTTTACCAGTGGTTTGGGGAAATACTGAATGCAAAGCACTGGAAAATTTCAATTTTCAATTGCCAGGATTTCACAGGGGCTGTATTGAAGCACAGACCTGGGATACTTTAACTCTGTTGAAAGAACTGTGTGTTCTTAAACAGCCACAACAGAGTTGTTCTTAAAAAAAACTTTCTTCTTCTAAAGGATGGAAGGAATTATAAATTGCCACAATAGGCTTGAAGCAGGAAAGTTAGAAAGACACCTTTGAGGAGATCTCAAATTAATATGTGGCTACAATGTGCATTCTGTGACCTGCTCTTGCAAACGAATGTATAATGTATATGCACCCATCCACGGTGCAGTACGAAAAAACATTAAGCATAAACACTTGTGTGTATCTGACACAAGGCTAATTCATGCAACTGTTCTGAATGGAGAAGAAGCCATGATTTAAACACCAAAGAAAGCTGAATCTCCTTGTCTGATAAAGACACAGAGGGTCTGGAATTCTAACACTGACAGGACCGATAAATTAACAGTAATGCTTTTAGATGAAAGTTTGCCAGAGAGCAGTAAAAGTCACTTCTAGATCCATTCTCTGCATTGTTTCCAGACATAAAAGGGCAGATACCACCAGAGAAATAACAAACTCTCCAAGAGCAGTCCCAGTAGGGATTGTGTGTTCAGGGTGGTTGCAGAGTAGAAATGAGTTGAGCATGAGCTGCATTGCAGCTGATGCCCCACTCCATGTGTTAAGAATCTGTCAAGAAAACACTTCTAGTCTACATGTTAGGAAACTCCTCTACATGTTTTAATAGAATTCATTTTGGAAACAGACAGAAACCTTTCAGGACTCAAAAATCTTCATGTCAGAACTGCATTGTCTAGCAATATGGCTTTACTGGCAACATGTTGAGACTCAAGATTCTGTGTGCTGATTGTGCTCTGCAAATAAATAGATCAGTTCCTACATGCAAATGAAAATCAAGTTGCCTTGGTGGCCTGACAGTCACCCATCTCTAATCCACCACAAAATTCCAAGCCTGTGCTGCAAGAACTGACAATTTAGTTGGATCATCAAATGGATGATGTAGTGTCCAATTCTACCACTCTGGCCAAAAGCAGGAGTTCATTCTGTGAACTGTCTGGTATGTAGCAACAGAAATGCTGAGAGGGGGTCATAATAGCTGTTACTCTGCTAATTACAACACAATAAATAGTTACTAAAGTCAGGACTGCAGAGAGGTTGGATCAGGAACTGCCTGCGGAAGAGCAGGATATTTCTGCAGAATGAAGATCAAGAACACAATACCAGTCCTGAAAGACAAGACAGAGTCTCCTGAGAGAGACTCTGAGCACACTCTCCTCCCGCTTGTTCCATTCCTGGCAGAAAGGACCAGCCACTGTTTAGTGCTCGGGAGGACAAACTGCACACTGACTAAAACTTCTAACTGTCTGTTAAAGACTTTGCAATGATCAGCTTGCATGACTGTAAAAAATTCTATTTGTGACAACAGAAATTTAAAAAAAGTTACACAAATTTTCCCTGTGTACCATTGATCTATGCATCACATTTCTTCTTAAAAGAAGATAGACTCTACTACAACACTATGACAAATGCTATTCCAAAAATAATTTTTATATATCTTAGGAACCTTCTCTGAATGTACAAATCACTGTTTTACTTCAAACACTATATACAAGCTGCCACCCATGTTTTAGGACCAAGCAGTATGTGGCAATAGACATTTATCCCACAAGCAGAGCTCCCCTACAGCTGCATGCATTATTTGGAAGATAACACTGAGAAGTGGGATTTTGATCCAGAGGTTTTTTAGACTAGTAAGAACAGAAAGAAGCTCTCACCTCTAGTTGTGGCTCAGAGTCACACCCCAAGCTGTGGTATCCTGAAGCCAAATTCAGATTAGAAGCTGCCTCTGAAAAGCAACATGATTATTCCTTCTTGTTCTAAGGTCAGCACTGGTAGTGCAAATTCTAGTGGTCGTCAAAAAAGACCACATGAGCTGAACAAAAATAAAGTCCTAGTACCTCTCTGGCCTGGGCATGTTATCTACATAAAAACCTTGAAGCTTCTGTCATGCTATCTTCGATCAAATAAGCAGTAGATTTCTACTGCAAAACCATGGTGTTTGAAAAAGGTCACTTTACTAAAAAAAAAACACAAACAATTAACAAATGCTTATTTTTAAAATGGCCAAATTAATCCATTTGCATTTCATTCTCTAACTAGCAGAAAAGAAAGGACAAAAATATAAAGAAAGATATTTCAGAGGCCATACTAATATATTTCTTTAACATCAAATTCTCACACGTTCAATAAAAAACTTTAGTGGATCATGGTGGATTAGCCTAGAAATATTGCCTAAAGGTGTAGTTTGTTAAGAAATCTTACCTCAGCAAAATGAATTAGAGGGATGAAATTGCTTGTAAATATCACATTTTAACCATATTTTTTTAATATGTCTTTATATATTGTGGGAAGTTTTCACTCCCGTTAAACTTTGCTTTAATACAAACGTTCTCGAGTTTTTACACTAAGAATGGAATAACGCATGTGACTCAGATCTGCATGTCTGTGTCTCAAGTTAGATATTTACCATTCCGTTTATCACTAGAGTTTGCTGTCTTGTCTTGAAAAACTCCATATAACTTTTGAAAGAGAATATGTAATCCTAGAAAAAATGGAAAAACTTGACCTCTTCCCATATACATAGATATATATTTGCAGAACTGTACAAATCTAGGTTCCCAGCAGGCTGATGCTTTGCTCTCTTATGCAAGTGATTGCTCACAACCCTGTTAAAGGCAGCACACAGCTACCCAGTAGCCTGTTTTCTCATGGTGGGTCGGATCTTCAGGGATGCTGAGTACACATGGGCACACACTAAGACCCTCACCTGCTTTCCTTGGAGACAGAAAGCAAAAGATTCTATTCCTCATCATGTTCATCAGCAGTATTTTAGCTGTCGGCTTCAGAGGTTGTGAAGTAAGAATTCCCAGTGCCATCAAAGACCTGCTCTGTGCACTGCAGAATAAGGTCTCGCAGTGACTAAGCTTGCAGGAGGCAAGCTGCTGACAACAGAGTGCTTTTATGTGGAAGTGGGAGCTGAATATGTCAGAGAAAGGGTCTGTCTTGTGGAATTCCTTTGCTCAGTGAATAAAACTTGGGCTGGACAGAGTGCAAGGGTTTATTTATTACCACAGTACTCTTCCTGCATGCCTGAGCAGCAAAGCTGCTAGTAACCACCTATTGGGAGGCTTTACCTAAGTCAAACTAGCTAGTGTTTTTTGAATGTGTCCTAATAGCATCCTGATGCTAAAGTGTGGCCAAAGCTTTAACATCTTGTTTGGTCTGAAAGAAATCAAATTATCCAACGTAAAAAATTTTGTTTCCTCCTTCTGGAAAGCTTTTCAGAGACTGGCTGACTGTTACTACTTGAAGTAAGTTTCTAAACAAACAAACAAGCACACAAGTGTATGCATAATATTTACATTCAGTATCCAGACAATTCCGTAGACAGAGAAAGTTCACTTTAGTGCAAAATTCTTTTCCACTTTCCTACACAACATCTGAGGTTTCTACAAAAGAAGGCCTGTTTTTCTTGTTTCCTATTCTGGTAATTCAAAACATTTATCTGGTGCAATTTATGGTTGACAAAAACGAGCTAAGTAGAGACAATTAGTAAGACTTGCATCACACAGGAACTTTTTGGAGTTGTGAGAGTTTAGTTATAGGAACTGGGGCTTTGTGAGATGCTAACTCTGTACTTTAGCAGCCTAAGACCTTAACCCTTGGAGCAGCTGCTTAGCATGTACATTGTGTTACACCATGTCTCTGATACCTAGTTAGTAGAGGCCAGTTAAGATTTTTATACACAGCATGGAAAATGCAATTTACTGTTGGACAGAATAGCTGGGATTTGTGTTTCTGCATGTTAACTGCAGGCTCAGATTTTGAATGAGCCAGGTTAATCCTCATTACTTGCTTCATATTTTCTTGCTACGTACCCACAAGCTGTGAGTAAAAATGTGTCAGTCAGGTCCTCTGTTCCCTCCCCACAGCAAAGGGGGTCTCAAATGGCTTTGAGACCTCTGACTGGACTGTAACCACGCATCACCCCTACAGAAACATCTGGCATTTTAGAAAAGGCACAAGAAAATGGCATTTTCAGAAGGGTAAGATCCTGCTCTGCACATAACCCATAGAAGTCTATTCCCTAAGCAACTTTTGAGGTACTGAAATACATTTTAAAGGCCTAAGTCCACTGACATCTGCTTCTAGTCTGTGCAAGAACTGTGTCATGATCATGTTGTAATCTCCTTGTCAAGTATGCCTATAAAATCCCAAAGTGTTAGAAACATTTCAGTAAGTCAAGACCAGTGGAGAATTAAGCTAACACATCTGTGTTGCATGCTATTGATGATGGATTAGCCTTTGAAAAGTCCTCTGAGCCTATCTGGTTCCTAGGAGACTTTCAGGAGAGCCCACAGGGTCAGCACATTGATTTCTTGATGCAGAGGAAAATAAAATCCTGTCAGGAAGAAGAAGGGGGGTAAATAACTTCTACGCTCCCTGACATCAGCCATCTACTGAAGTGCATGTTGACATCTCTCAATCCCTCCCAAAACAAAGTGACAGTATTTCAAAGATTCATTCAGCTATAGAGTACCACATTCTTTCCCACAGACAGCTTGAGTCTGATTCAGTTCTTGATCCCAGCTGACAGCCACTACCCTCCTGCCAGGCTGCCTACAGGCTTCGTACAATAGGCAGCAGGAAAACAGAAGGGAGAGAAAGGGAGAAAATAAAATTAAAATGTAATTTTTTTTTCCCCCAAAACGAAGAATGGAATTCTTTAACCTCTAAACATGCTTGTTTACTTACAGAAAGAGTATTTCAGGCACAAAAGGTTTAAGTCAGTCACATACCAGGTTAAATTGAAATAGTATCAGGATTGTCCCATGCAGTGTAGTCAGCTATATTATCCCCTATCAAGAAGTTGAAGTTGCAGTTTTTGTATACACACATATATGTAAAGTATATGTCTTTCACACTATGCTCTCCTGGTCTGAGTTGATTCCAGTAGGGTTTATGTAACAACAGTATTTGTCATAAGGGCTGTTATCCTTGTAAGAACAGACAATGATACTGTCTTTAGGTGCCACAAAAATGTTGTCTTCAATTTCAGGGCAAGCAGTGCTGTCCCTGCTGGGAGAAGAGCTCTTCTTCTCCAAGGCACTGTATGTGGAGCCATCTCCCACACACAGAGTCAGCGGCATCTGTGGGTAAGGGGTCTCCAGGTATTTCAGCATGTCTTCCTGTTCCACTTTCTCGATGAGGCTGTTGCATTCTCCCATGGTGGCAGCGACGGTGGTGCAGACGAAAATGGAATTCTCCTCACCCCGCAGCACTCTCCTGTCCCTCTGGTATGCTTTCTTGACCAGTTCGTCACAACTCCCCTTGCCAGACTCCAGGTCTGAGGGGGTCCTTAGCAGCTCCATGACATCTCTGTCCTTCACTCGCTTACAACACGGACGCATGTCCTCGGGCCACTTGGTGCAGCCGTCGGTCTTTCTGGTGAGGGCAATAGCGGCGATGCCCGGCAGACAGATGGCCGGCCCTATGGCCAGCAGCGGGATGTCTCCAAGGGTCTCTCCCTTCATGCCAGACACGGTGAACATGAAGCCGAACACTAGGAAGACGCTGACCAGAGCCACCACCAGCCCCGTCCGGGGGTTGATGTCGTCGGGTCTCAGGGTCCGCGCCATCCTGCCGCTGGGAGCGGGGACACTTCACTCCACCGGAGCGCCCCTCGGGACAGGGGACAGATGTGCCTCGGCAAGCGACTCAAGTTTCCCAGACAGTGAAGCGTGGAGAACTCCCGACAGCCGGCACCACTCGCCTTCCCGTCGGTGGAGCCGCAGACGGAGGGCGGGCCGGAGCCGGGAGCCGTCCTGCCTCCTCCCTCTCTCCCTCCCTCAATCCTCGGAGCCGCTTTGAGCTGCGCTAAGGCGGGAGCGGCCCTCCCTCCTCCGGCAGCCCCGCCGCGCCCTCCCACGAGTGGGCTCGGGGGGTTCAAACCCCGGCAAAGGGCGGGAGAAGAGACACCGGGGCGGTTTTAAGCAGTCGGCGGGCGGGGAGCAAGCAGCCGCGAAAGAATACCTGCCCTGCCGCCTCCTCCTCGTCCTCCTCCTCCCCCTCCCTGTCCTCCTCCTCCGGCCCCGCCGGAGCCCCGCAGCAGCCGTGAGTACGCGCACGGCCCCCGAGTGCCGCGGCGAGGGTGCTGCGGGGTCGGTACCGGGGGGTCGGCGGAGTTCCCCCACCCGATGGCCACCGCTGCTTGGCCGGCCCTGCTGCCACTCCGGGCAGTCTTTCCCTCACGAGTGGACCCCCGACTGGCGTCCTTCCCCGGGGGAGTCGGCCTGCGCATCCTGCGTACGGACCTCCGCCCCGAAAGCCCCTGTCTCCGTGGGGACAGGGCTTGCGGACTAAATCCTCCCCCGGACAGACAGCAGTCTTGCCCCGAGGCCTTTCCTGAGTTAGGCACGAGTGGAGAGCAAGGCTTCAGGAGATGCTGTGCTGCAGCTGGATTTCAGCCCGGAGGAGGCCCTTAGGGAAAAAGCCTCTCCCGGTGTTATTCCCTCCCCAAGATCCCAGAGTGAACTTAGATGCCGGGATGCATCTCGCAGGGGGTTCCTTGGTTTCAAAGGCTGTGATGGTGATGTTCCATCCCTGTGTTTTGATGCACTTGGGTGATGGCAAAGTAAGCACCTCGAGGTGAATGAGTATAGGAAAGAATCTGAAATGTGTGGGAATATGGAAATGCAGCAGCATGATCAGGAAGGTTGCCAGTGAAATAAAGGAGTAAATGCTTCCACCTGGGGAGAGATACTGGGAGATGAAAAGGAGTGATACCAAAGAGCTTTCAAGAAAATTAAGATAATAGAAAAGGACACACTGAACTAAATTGTGAAACCATGGTTTCTCTAAGTTTTCCCACTAACATAATTCCTTTTCCTCATACTACAGATTTGGAAAGCTCAGAAAAGCCAATTTAGGAAATGCACAAATGCTCTTCAACTTTAAGTCTTATTTACCCTCTTATTTACCCTCCCTACAGTACAACATGAACAGAGCACATCTGGGTTGTAGGTTTCTAAACTACCCGAGAATATCCTTTCATTAATGGGAACAGCTGCTGCCTTTCAGGACACTTTCTTCATAAATGGGATGTCAAGCTATAGCCTTTGCTGTTTAATTTGAAGGATGAATAAGTGGATGGGAAGGATGAGAAGTATACTTCTTCTGTTATTAAGGGAGAGTTATTAAGTCAGTGGCAGTAAGCTGGGTTTGAGATTAAAAGTTTGTAATGGACTATGATCATTGTTTCAACTTGTACTCCAGAAGGTTGTCCAGTAAAATCCACACTGAACCTACCTGCTGTTGCTGCATGGTCTGAAATAGGAATAATTTGGACTTTGTTAGAAATACTCTTCTTGACTGAAAGACTTAAAAATCAAAACCTTTCAGTTAGATTTCAGCACAAGTTAACTTCTACTTTTGCCACTGTGCAGGATTTAGCCATACAAGTAGTGTCTTGGCTCCTGTTTTCCAGAGTGAGAATTTGCTTCTTGTTTCCATCTGCTGTTATTCAGATGCACAGCTTTTATGTCTTCACACTGTAATTAATAATGTCTTTTTTTACCCGTCTGCTGAATTCTGTAGGAAAGGAAGTGATTAGCCTTCAGCCTGTCTGTCCCACATAAATAAAATATTGTAAAGTGTAAGTTATGAGCACTGTTGTGTTGATAACTAATGCCATGAAAGTCACAATTCCTGCTCCCTGACCTTCCTTCACCTCCCTTACTGCATATGAATAGTCTTTCAAAAAATTGGAGATTGGTTTTTAGTTGAAAAAAAAACTCTGATGCTTGGAAGTAACAATTACCTGAAATTGTATTCATCAACAGTCCTTCAGAAAAAGTGCATCACTATATGACACAGAAATGTAAATATTAGTGGCATCAGTGGAGAGGAAAAATACCTTAAGAGCTGCAGTACATGTCAGAATATCTAAGAGGAATAAAAATGGCCCTTCAAATTTAAGCGACAGGCTTACTGAGATGGAAAAAAGAACATCTACTTTGAAACAGAAAGCTATTAGTGGACAGAAGAATACAGAAAATGTCAGGATAAAGGTGGAACTAAATGCCTTCAATTTGTCCCTTTGTGAGTGTTTTCAAAACAAGATGTTTTCTTCCTGGGAGAGAGGGTAGGAGAGGGAAAACAAACACCCTGTTCCAGGAAAGCATGCTACAATTGTTAAAATGGTCTTGCAAATCTAGAAATCAAGAGATCAGCAAGTATCTCTTAACATAACTGAGTAACAATGCAAATAGTTGAATTTTCTATCCTGTTAATAACACAACCTCTTTTGAGGTGAAGCATGTTTCTGTTCTGGTGCTGTACAGAAAAATGAGGTACTCAACAACTTTTTTGCCTCAGTCTACCATGGCAACCTCTCTTCCCACACTTCTCAAGTGGATTTACTGTAAGATGGGGAGTGGGGCACAAAAATGGTTCCCAGTGTAATAGGTCAGGTTTGTGATCACCTGAGGAACCTGAACACCAGTTTATGGGATCCAGTGAGATGCTGTGCTGGTTTTGACTGGGATAGAGTTAATTTTCTTCACAGTGTCTAGTATGGGCCCGTGTTTTGTATCTATGCTGAACACAGGGGTGACAACATAAAGTAGTTTCTGTTATTGCTGGGCAGGGGTTACACAGACCCAAGGCCTTTTCTGCTTTTCCTTCTGCCACACTGGTAAGGAAATTAGGGATGTGTGGGAGACTGGGAGCAGACACAGCCAGGACAGGTGACCCAAATTGATCAAAGGGATATTCCAGACCCCACAACATTATGCTGAGTATATAAAGTGAGGGAAAGAAGGAGGGTGGAAGGGACATTTGGAATGATAATGTTTGTCTTCCCAAGTCACCCCTTGTGCGTGAAGGGGTCCTGCTCTGCTGAAGGTGGCTGAACACCCGCCTGCCCATATGAAGCAGTGAATGAATTCCTCATTTTGTTTTGCTTGTGTGCCTGGGTTTTGCTTTCCCCTTTATCTCAATCCAAAAGTTTTCTGAGTTTTACCCTTCTGATTCTCTGCCCAATACCAATGGTGAGAGAGTGAGTGAGCAGCTACATGGGGCTTGGCTACTTGCCGGGATTAAACCACAACAGATGCATCCCAGACTCCCAAGGGAATTGGCTGATGTAGTTGCCAAGCCACTCTCTATGGTATTTGAAAAGCCCTGGTAATCAGATGAATTCCCAGGTAACTGGAAAAGGGGAAATATTGGGCCCATCTTTTAAAAAGGTAGGAAAGAGGACACTGGAAACTACTGAACTTTCAGCCTTCCTAGGTTGACATTTCCCATTAAAAGCTACACAATGCTGCAAAAAGAAATAAACCAAACTCACCCCTGTGCCTGGAAGATTATGGAACAGGTCCTCTTAGAAGCTCTGCTAAGGCACATGGAGGACAGGGAGGTGATTTGTGACATAAAGTCAGCATGGCTTCACCAAGGACAAGTCCTGCCTGACCAACCAGGTGGCCTTCTATGATGGAGTGACTACATCAGTGGACAAAGGAAGGACTAGGGATGTCATCTATCTAGATTTCTGTAAGGTGTTTGATATGGTCTCTAACAACATCCTTCTCTCTAAATTGAAGAGAGAAGGATTTGACTGGGGAGCTGTTCAGTGAATAAGGAATTTTTTGGACAATCAGATCCAGAGGGTGGTGATCAACAGCTCAGTGTTCATATGGAGATTGGCAATAGGTAGTGTTCCTCAGGGGTCTGCAGTAGGACAAGTGCTGTGTAACTCACCCTCACTGCTGGAGAACCATCAGCAGTTTTGCAGTCAACCTGTTTTGAGTGGTTTGAGTGGTGCAATTGATGTGTCTGAGGGATGGGATGCCATCCAGAGGGACCTGGACAAGCTCAAGAAGTTGGTCCACAGGGATCTCCTGTGGTTTAAAAAGACCAAGGGCAAGATGTTGCACCTGGGTCAGAGCAACCCCCAGTATCAACACAGACTGGGGGATGAACAGAACAAGGGCAGCCCTAACGAGAAGGAGTTGGGGGTGCTGGTGGATGAGAGGCTGGACAGGAGCCAGCAATGTGAGCTTGCAGAAAGCTAATTCTATCCTGGGCTGCATCAAAAGCAGTATGGCCAGCAGGGCAAGGGAGGGGATTCTGCCCCTCTACTCTACTCTGGTGAGACCACACCTGTAGTGCTACATCCAGCTCTGGGGTCCCCAGCACAGGAAGGACATGGGCATGTTGGAGTGCATCTAGAGTAGGGCACCAAGGTGATTAGTGGGATGGAGTGCCTCTCTTAGGAAAGGCTGAGAGAATTGTTGAACCTCATGAGATTGCCATGGGCCCACTTCTCCATCTTGTGAAGGTCCCTCTGGGTGGCATCCTGTCCTTCATGTGTGTCAGCCACTCCACTCAGCTTGGTGTCATCTGCAAATTTGCTGAGGGTGCACTCAATCCCTTTATCTATGTCATTAGACATATGTCATCTGGTCCAAAGTACAGGCCCCTGAGGGACAGCACTTGTCACTGATGTCCATCAAGACTCTGAGCCCTTGACCACTACCCTCTGAATGTGACCATCCAAGCAATTTCTTATCAATCTAAAAGTCCACTTATTAAATCCATCTATCTCCTATTTAGATAGCAGGATATTGTGGGGGAC